AGCCCGTTTGGGGACCGGCTCCTCCTGCCTCAAGGTTTATGGTTCTAGGGTTGTAGGCATTGTAGGTCCAAGGATTTGGGTTTTGCAGGTTGATCTAAAGGTCCATTGGGGTTTAGGGCTTAGGGTGTTATTGAGCCCTGGACTAAATTTGTAGTATATACCTTCATAGGTCCCCTCCAAAACCCCATATAGTTCCCTATAGGTCCCCCCCCCAACCTAAATTTAGTCCGTAGCTCATTTCGGGATCCTTTAGATCTAAACCCTAAACCGCGGAGCTTTTAAATATTGATCTCGAAGCTAAGGCCGACTCCAACTCCCAGAATGCTTAGAATCCTAAGCCCTAAACTTTAAGCCCTAAGCCCTATAGTCACCCTTATGTGGGGATCTTATTACAATATACCCAGAGCCACATTCTGTCTACTTAAGGGGTGCTATAAACCTTAAACCGGGGAGCCTCAAATCTTTCTCCTCATTTCCCCAAACTCCTGATTCAGCTCGCCAGGTCCCAAGTCGGCAGTCATACAGTTTGGGGCTTAAGGTTCAAGGGTTGTAGGGCTTGAGGTCATACAGTTTGGAGCTTAAGGTTCAGGGGCTTTAGGGCTTGAGGGGCTTTAGGATCTTAAAGGCAAAGTCCTACACAAATGAACCCTAAACCGTAAATCCCCGGACCCTTTACCGGGCGATTAAGGGGTGCTGTCCCTGTGCACTCCTGCTACTGACGGGTATCGTCACGATCGGACCCATAGGGCAGCTTCCCCTTGAAGTCAAAGCAAGCCAGCAGTTTAGGGTTTAAGAGCTTAGGGTTTTGGCTTTACGTAGCGTTTAGAGTTTAGGGTTGGGTTTAGGAGTCATAGGCGGAAGGGCTTAGGGCTTAAAGCTGGGGGATCCGAGCTTTGGTTTTCGGTGCGTTGCTCAATTGCAGAATGCCAGGTTCATTCATGCCCTAAACTCTACACAGTAGCTTCCATAGGATTTTCCAGCTTCTTCTTCGCTTGATTCTTCCTTATCCCTCTAAAAACCGTATATCCGACGGTGAGAACATGAAGCACTTGCGCCCGGACCCCGAGCTTCTTTCTGATCTGGTTTGGGGTTTAGGGTTTAGGGTCTCAGGGTTTCGGGTTTCAGGGTTTAGGCTCGAGGGTTTTAGGGTTTAGGGTTTAATGTGAGACTGCTAGAGGTTCATGTAATCCCCCTGGACCTATACTAAACAAATGCTTTTAATTGTTCCGAAGGGTTACACCATGATAAATTGATCTGGGTTCTTGTTGAAATACAATAAAAAAAAGTCTTGTTTTATTGATATTGAGCCCGGGTATCCATAAAAATGTAGAATTTGGTTCTACAAGAGCCCAGTGAACCAACAGTTCCTACTGAGACTACAGGCTCCACCCTATCACAATTGTGCTTTGTAGGGGCATCCTAATCCCCCAACCCTAAAACCCTAAACCCTAAAACCCTAACCCTAAACCCAGCAGGCCCCAAGTTACGTTCACATCTTCTAAACCTGCTCAACTTAATGACCATCGCCGTCATAAACATCCTACGGAAACAGCAGAAGAAACAAATCAAACAACTGCTACACTGTTCAAGCCCTAGACCCTGAAGCCGAAATCCCTAAATCCCTAAACCCAAATACCTTGGATCCCTGGGTTCAGGGTTGGAGGTTCAGGATCGATGGTTTTTAGGGGAATGGCAACATGGAAACTACTATACTACTTACGGTTGTAAAGCCTGAATCCCTAAACCCTGAACCCTAGCCCCTAAACCGCGTGAAGTTTAAGCAGCTGGGAAACTCTCTATAACTGGGGTTCTAACCCTACTTATAATTGGGGTAGCCCCTACAAGGTCATTTAGCGGGATTATAAGCTCAGTTATGTGTAGTTTCTATTTTCCATGAGCCTCCAAGTAGCAACCTTCAGTGTCTGCTGCGTCTACTGAAGGTTCAGGGTTTAAGACTTAGGACTTAGGGGATTAGGGTTCAGGGTCTAGGGTTCAGGGATTAAGGTCTAGGGTTTCGGACTAAACCCTAAACCCTAAACATAATTTAAGGCTTAGGGGAAGCCTTTGCGCGAGCCCTTCGCTGTCGAGCTTTCCGCTTTGGGGCCGCAGTTGGTGGGCTCAGGTCATCTTGCTCTTGGCCAGGAAGGTGCCTAGGGTTTAGGGTTTAGGGTTTAGGATTTAGGGTTTAGGGTTTAGGGTTTAGGGATTTAGGGTTTAAGTTCGTGTTTGGGCGGATGGGGTTCATGGGGTTTTGGATTGAAAGATGGCAGTTTACTAAAAGTTTGATCCCTCATTATACCCTTTTGTACTACAGTAGTTTCCATTGTCTTTTCCATTATCCCCATATAACCCTACTATAACCGCATATTACAAGCATAAGCCTAAAGTGAAGCACAATGTGAACTTCGCTGTGGAAGCCTTACAGAAGAGGCGGCACCTGTATGAGCAATAGTCTGAACTCCTAGCATCCCCCTTAATAACCCTATATAATACTCCCCTATATAACCTCCTTTATAGGCCGTAAAAACCCTTAAGGTCGTGTACAATGTTGAGAAGCGCTGGCTTGAGGCGAAATGCAATGTCTGGGAACAATCTTGGGATGTCCCAGGGTTTAGGGTTGAGGTTTTCCCATGTATAGAGCATGAGGCGAGTGGGTCTCTGCTACAATAAAGGGGTCTAGGGCTAAGGAGCTGAACTAAAGTACAGTAATCACAGATGAGTGGTAGAAGGTTACAGCGCATTAGACACGCAAGGAGAGATAGATACCCCAATCATAGATGGATCCCCACACCCAGTATTAGTGATCAGAAGGGATAATAAGCATTCTCGTAGGGTCCTCTCATATTCCTATTGCACCACTGTTACAGGGTGCAGGGGGGACCTCCTGACCCGAATCAATGCCATCATTTTTCATGGCAAAGCTTCTCAACCACAAATGTCCGATCCTACATACCGGGCCGGGCCTGTATGAGCCATAGTTTAAACTCTAGCATCCCCTTTAATGGCCCCTATACTGCTCCCCTATCATACTCCCCTATATACTCTCCTGTATAGCCCATAAAAAATCTTTAAGGAGTTTAGACTAGAGCTCATATGTCACAACTGACAGGTCAGAGTTTCTAGATGTAACCACTGTTCATGTAAAACTCTCGAAGAACAGTATGACCACTAGGTAGACGGGGCACAAGATTTATTTGGCAACCTCAAGCTAAGCCCAAATATTTAATCCTGTACACTAAACCCTCATTTCAATCAGAGTTTAGGGTTTAGGGTTGACTCATTATCTGAACCCGTTAATCTCCAACTTCAAAAGCCTTGGAGGGTCAAGAGGGCTTAGTAGGTCGGCCAAGAATCGGTATCACTGGAGTTCTTATACTGGCCTAGGGGTTATGAGCGCACTTACTACGTTCCCCTGCGCATTCATCTCTTCCACTCCTCTGTGCCATTCTGAGCCTCTTGACTCCCCAAAACCTGAAACCCTTAAGCCTTGAACCCCAAACCGTTAGCCCAATGTAGCCTAAGATATCAGATTCATCCCTGCGTAATGCCGTAGTTTCAATTTCCTCTTGCATGGTGAGTATTGACAAGCTAGATTATGATGATGTGACTTTTCTTTCGCAAAGCATGCGCCGTAAGCCCCAAATTCAGCCAAAGCTCCGAATTCAACCCGAAGCCCTACGCCCTTAACCCTAAATCCCAAACCTACATCCTGACCCCTAAGCCCTAACGCCACCACTGTCATGTTTACCATACTCCACTCCCGCTAATAATGCCTCCCAACCCCCTGGTAATAAATATTCGCGGGTAAATATTCACCCCTTATACATTGAGGGGTCGGGGGGTGTCTTGGAATCCTAAAGCCTAAACCCTAACACTATAGTCATTGCCATTGTCTCTTCCATTTCCCCCCATATCCCTATATGTATCCCGCGAAAAATCCCTTGGAAGTTCACCTTTGTCAACCCATGAAACCAAAAGCCTAACCCCTAAACTCTAAATCCTAATCCTTAAATCCCTAAACCCTAATCCCTAAACTCTAAATCCTAATCCCTAAATCCCTAAACCCAATCTAAACTCTAAATCCTAATCCTTAAATCCCTAAACCCAATCCCTATATTCTAAATCCTACCGCCTAAATCCCAAAACCCTAATCCCTAAATCCTAAACCCTAAATCCCTAAATCCCAGACCCTAAATGCCTAAACCCTAAACCCTAAACCCGCCCAGCCTCTCATCCGGCTTAGGGGGCAGCGATGCTCCAACGAGGTGCTCAGCAACACCCTCCAGCCTTTGCTTGTTTAGGGTTTAGGGGTTTAGGGGTTAAGGGGTTTAGGGTTTAGGGTTTAGGGTTTTGGGGGGTACTGCCCCCCCCCCCCAGTAACAGTCTACATTAGGGGTCCTATTAAGGGCTATATATAACATTATATAATTATTAACCAGCCGTTACTGAAGGGGGGCAGTACCCAACTTATGGGATTTGGGATGGATTTAGGGATTTAGGGTCTCCAGAAGTTCAAGTATAGTGTTTCAGGCTTAAGTTTTAGGGTCTAGAATTTCAAGTTGAATCTTTCAGGCTTAGGGTTTGAGAGTCTAGCATGTCAAGTTTCATGTTTCAGGTGTAGGGTTTTAGGGTTTAGGGCAGGGCTTAGGATTTGGATCTTCCCTTGCCTTTACCACAAAACCCCATAAGATCTTCCAAGCCAGACATGTCTTCTACCCTAGACCCGGAAACCCAAGTGCTTTCACACGGAGCCCCAAACCCAAATCGTAGCCCGGCAACCGCATCGTCGGCCGTCGTCTGGGCACCTCTTCGAATCGAGGGCGGATGTTGATTTGAGCTAGGTAGCCTACATGAGGAAGTAATAATACATAGAATCCCCCTTTAGGTTTGCAGGATTTAGGGCAGGGGCCTACATGTTTAGAACGAAGGTTAAGCAAACAGAATGTCAAATGGAACATGACATGTAAACTTGCTGTATTTTTGGCAGAAGCTAGGCTTTGAATGTGTCTATAGGGATTGTAGGTATATCATTTGAACATGTGCTATCTATTACAGAATTTTAGGAGACAATAAGGTACTACCATGTACTACCTTGTTTTAGTTTAGGTCTGTCTTTACCTAGTGCTCTAGCTTTTTGGGTCGGGGTCGTAGGGTTCACAGTGTATGGTTTTTTGGTGATCATGGCTTTGGGGTCGAGGGTTAGAAGGGCTCATGAACTAGGAGTTTGTAAAGCTCTTTTGTGTCATCAACACTATGGTTCCTTTTGAGTGGGGAACCCCAAAGCGTAGGCTGCACTAAGACTCTCGGAGAATTTACTCTTCTACGAATCCCAAACAGGGCCAGCATTCTTGACCTAAATCCTAAATCCTGAACCTGTAACCCTAACTCCTAAACCCTTAACCATAAACCGCTGAATTGTGACTTAATTTGCTCATGGCCACAGATCACTGACCCCCGTACTCAGTACTGGCCCACGACCTCACACCCAAAACCTGCAAATTGTGAACACCAAAACCCTGAATCCTAAACCCTAATCCCTAAACACCGAAACCCTTATCCCTAATTCCTAAACCCTAATCCCTAAACCCTAAACCCAGAACCCAAAGCTGCTAGTAAGTGCGAAGCCGGAGGATCCTACAGTCATAGACAGATCCCAGAAGATGTTTAAGGCGTTTTGGGCTTTATGGAAGTGACTCTGAGATCGATAGGGCTTAGGGCTTCGGGGTTAAGGTTTAAGGTTAGGGTTTAGGATCTATCGGAGCATGACTAAAGCTATCTGTATCATGCCTATGCCCAACTGTATGCTGTTCTAGACGGTAGAACCAGCTTGGTGGCTATACTGAAGCACTCGCGTTCTGGAGAAAAGTACGTTTCAGGGACTCTGGGACTTGACCTAGTGATAACTCTAAGTACTGAAGCCTAACCATAAAGCCCCATACAGATACTTCACTACATGAACCTAAATTCCGTCTCATTTTCCATGTTCTTTTGCATTTGGTTCTCCATTATCGGAGCAAAATATGCCTAATCCCTAGACCGTATAGAGGCCTTTATAACCTATAACCCCTTTTGCAGAAACCCCGCATAATCCATTATTTGGGGTAATAGCCTAAACCCTGAGCCCTAGACCCTATAGGGTGTACCCACTGTAGCAAGCCCTCTGCATGCCTGGAATCCTTGCAGGTGCAGGTAGAGGTAGATGGGCTGACCGGGCCTCACGCAGAAGCCCAAAATCTTGGGGGCTAAGGGTTTGGTGTCCATGGGTCTAGGGGCTTAGGGCTTAGGGGCGCAAAAACGTGCGGGCGCACATCAGATGTCACGTACCCAACATGTTTTTTTGTCTCAACGTGCTTTACTCACCAGAATGCCTCCTCTACCCTAAGAAGTAAACTTGATTTTACCTCCAGAACACGTTTCCGCTCTGAAGAACGTGCTTTCATCTACAAAACGATTTGTCATCGCCAACATTCTTTGCAGAGTTCGATGTCCCTCGAACTTTCAGCAGCAAATGCCCAAGGAATCTCAGTCCGGCAGACGTGGAACAAAGCCATCGCAGCTATCGAAAAAACTGCGCGGGGAGCGCAAAAAAAAAGGCAGAGAACCAAGAATTGTGACGGAACCATATCACGAGGTTTCGGGCCGATGGGATTTTGGGATTGATGCTCTGAGGTCTACGCACCGGTTTCTGGTTGAGGGTTCATGGTTTCAGTTCTACAGAGTTTAAAGTCTCAGGGTTTGAGACTTAAGCCCTAAACTCTAAAACCTAAACCCTATAAACCGTAAACCCTGCAAACTAAGCCCTATAACCGCAAACCCTGAAACTGAAACCCTAAACCCCAAATCCTAAACTGCAAACCCCCAAAACCTTGACCCGGAACCCTAAACCCCCAGTCCCCAGCCCTTAAACCCTAAAACCCTAAATGTTAACTAAAGGGCTCGCAGCCGGAAAAACGCGCAAGCTGAACTGCGCTGGAAACTCTTCACGGTTAAACAATACCCAGAGGGCCTGCTGTGTATCCAGGGTTTAGGGTTTAGGTTTTGGATTTAGGGTTTGAGGTTTATTACCAGTACTTAGAATTTGGGGGGAGGGAGGGGATCATGTTGAGCTTGAAACGTTTTAGCTTCGAGATTAAGGAAAGTTGACAACCCAAACCCAAAGTCCAAAGTAGGGGTCTTGCTGGTCTAGGATTTAGGGTCTAGGGTTCAGGGTTTAGTTTAAGATTCAGGGTTTAGGGTCAGTTGTTAGTATCACCCTGTACCCAAAAACAATTATACCAGCAAAAAACACACACACAGCAACAGTACCCGCACAGCACCCGGGAACTAGGTGCTAACCCAATTTTTCTGGATAGAGGAACGCCAATGACTCTGCTGTCTGGGTAGTAACAACACCCCAAAAAATATTACGTGGGACATAGGACCTTAAACCCTAAACCAACCCTAGATCCCTTCAAAGTTTGGGGCCGGTCACACCCAAAAGTTTCACAAGCACATGATGCACTGCGCCCAGAACCCCAAACCAAAGGAAACCTCATCCGAGAACTCTCACCGCGGTTTCTTTTCCGGCAAACATTGGACGTTAAACGCGGTACCCTAAACCCCAAGCCCCAATCCTCAACCTGACACTTGAGATGCAACAAAAACCTGAAGATGCCCTAACAAGGCCTAATATGAGCCATAGTCTAAACTCCTAATATCCCCCTTAACAACCCATATAATACTCCCCTATATTATCCCCGATATAACCCCTCTTCAAGGAGTTTAGACTACAGCTCATATAAGTTGCAGACTCGGGCTTCCATCAAAAGACGTCTTCCATGTTAGTTCCTTTGTATGAACAATGAAGCATGAAATCCTAAACCCTATAAGCCCTTAAGCCTTGAACGCTCAATCGTAGCTCTAAAACTCGAATCCCCGAACCCGAAACCCCACCTCGTAAATAGAAACAAATAGATACATCAATAAATGAAAATCACAATGATGATAATAACTAAAAATCAAAAAGAAAAGGATGATAATACTAATGATAGTAGTAATAACAATAATACCAATAATAAGAGCAATAAGACTAGTAGTATCAAGAATAAAACAAAGGCACACATGCAACATTAAGAGTAACAAGAGCAAATACACAAATGATACACATGAAAGAAAACCCTAAACCCTAAACCCCTAAACCCTAAACCCCTAAACCCCTAAACCCTAAACCCCTAAAACCTATGGAAATAATAATGAAGCTGCCCAAGGAACGCGTTGCGGTCAAAAGGCGAGCTTAGAGTTGCCATCCTGCCCGGTGTCCATTAAGATTGGGATTTAGGGTTTGGGGTAATATTAGGGTTGTATTGGGATTATATTGGGGTAATATTGGAGTAATGTTGGGGTTCTAGGGGTTTGGGGTTCTAAGGTTTAGGGTTCTAAGGGTTTAGGATTCTAGGGGTTTAGGGTTCTAGGGTTAAGGGTTCTAAGGGTTTAGGGTTCTAGGGTTTCAGGGTTTAGGGCTCAGGGCTTTAGGGGGCTTAATTAAAGCTACTGTACTACCCCTCCCCAGGGTTCCCCCTTAGCTATGCTTATTGAGGCTCATTGAAACTTAATCAAGGCCTGGGGGAGGTGGTAGTATGGGGGATAATAGGTAAACCCTAAACCCTAAACCCTAAGATAATAGGTGGACCCATGGGAGATGGAAGCCCATGCCTAAGTCACCCGAAACCCCGAAACCCTTACCCCAACTGTAGGTCCAAAATCCTAGGCCCTACACCTTGAAAAACCTAAACCTCCATTCCTTCTGGTTAAGGGTGCGAAGGGTTAAGTTTAGGATTTGGGTATTAGGGTCCTATAAAGCCTAGCTCATGGACCCTAAGTCGAAGCCCTAAACCCTGATCCGCCTACTCAAACCACGCGTTTTATCAACATCACTTAGGGTTTGGGGGTGCTATTTTGGTTGTGAGAATTTCAAAATTAAGGAAATTTGGGTACCCTAAGTAATGGTAAGTTTATATGGTCTTGAGGGTTTAGGGCTTAGGGTTTAGGGCAAGCTCCATGTTCTTCTACGTTCTCCCTACCTCCACGCCACAGTCATCCACCTCATAGTCATCCCTGCCATCTCTATACTCCCTCCCAAACCTTGAACCCTAAACCCAGACCACAAACCCTGACCCTACACCCTAAAACCCGCAACCCCAGACCGTTCCCCTCCCCTCCTCCCCAAAAACCCTTGCACGAGACCTTGCGCGCAGATGTCTCCGAGGCTCACCGGGAACCTGAACCATTGCCGAGATACTGCTCTAGCTATGGTGGATAATAATGGTAGAATGGTACCAAAATCATGCAAAAGATTGCTTTTTTAGTAATTGTCAATCGTAGTATGGTTGAGGATTTGGGGTTTAGGATCAAGGCGTTAGGGCTTGGGATTATATACATGAGTTTTGGGCTTAAGGTGTAGGATTTGGGGCTTGGGAATAAAGATCTAAGTTCTTAAAAATTCAGGACCTAAGCTCTAAGATTTAGGGCTTGGGGTTGAAGATGTGAAGTGTATGGCCTGGCTAAGATCATCCCAAAACCCAAATAAACAAGGCCACTTGGGGTGAAATCCTTATGGTTCGCCCCATTAGTAGCGGAGGTGAAACTGTAATATGTGGAGGTTCGAGGAACTAGGTATAGGGATTGTGGTTTGGGGCTCTGGGGGTTAGGGTTGAGAGCTTACGACTTCGAATTTTACATACCGTTTACTGAAGGCCAACATCCTCAAGCTTCAGACCCTACAAAACTGAACCTTCAAGTTCACCCTAGACCCTGATAATAAGGGGATTTTGGTAACCCCAACCCCCAAATTAGAACCCTATGACTATCATATGATGGCTTTAGAGTCCTAATTTTGGGGGTTGGGGTTACCAAAATCCTGCTACGACGTGGAGAAAACTGACGGCTCTTTTGAGACCCCCTTGCGATGTATGCGGTGGTCCCATGGCAGTCCTTATACTCCCACCAAAGAACTTCTACGGAGCCCCCCTCGACGACACTGACCTCAACAGAATTGAAGTCCAAAAGGTGGTCCTGCAAGCAGAAAGAATACCTGCTCCTCGAAATATACAGAACTATTTGAGCTATAGTCTGAACTCCTATTTTTCCCCTTAATAACCTCTATAGTAGTCCCCTATGTATTCCCCTATGTAACCCCCCTTTAGGAGTTTAGACTATAGCTCATTTTAAAAGTTTCAACATTCAGGTTTTCGACCATGACTTTATCTGCAGATGGGGTCCGAATATTTTAAAGAGGCCTGCATGGACCTCCCAAATATCCGTAGTAATGGCCTGGGTACCCATTGTCTTGTGGATAATATACCCAAAGCCATACTCTATCTACTTAAGGGGCACTATACACCCTAAACCCTAAATAGTACTTTCCATTTTCTTTTCCATTATCCCAACATGACCCCCATAAAACCCACAAGGGGGACTATAAACACTCTTATGGCCATGAATCCCGGTACTTTGGAGGTCCAAGTACATCCTAAACCTTACTTGAAGCCCTTAGTTAGAGAAATTGCGCAGTTTGCTGGTTATAGGGGGGATATTACTTGGGTGGTTGTCAAAATTATGGTCCATTTCTGGATCCCTATTGTAATACGGCGCTTAATATTTAGGGTACCCAAACAGGGACCATAATTTTCACAACCACCCATATGGGGAAAATGGAAAAGTAAATGAAAGCTACAATTATGATGGTTTATTGGGGTTATATAAGGTTGCGGGTGTAGGGTTTAGGGATTTAGGGTTTGGGGATTTACTGGCCCCTTTGCAGCTAAGTCCAATGACAGGCGAGGTGCCCGAAGCATCATGGGCGGAATGGCCTCTCAAACAGTTCTGGCCCTGAACCCTGAAGCATAAACCCTAAACCCTAAACCCTCAAGCCCATACATACTTACCATTACTTAGGGTTCTGACATTTCCTTGATCTCAACAGTTCAAAGCTTTAAAATCATAATGACACCCCATACCCTATGTAATGGTAATGAACCCTGAAGGTTTGGAGTTGCTCATCGTAGTTTCCATTTTCTTTTCCCCTTACTAGAAAACCCAAAAGGGGGACTACAAACACTGGCTTTCTCAAGTGTGAAAGCCAGCTTTGGGATCTTCAGGAAACCTCCCCCTTTGTGTTCTGAATGCTACACCCAAAACCTCCTTGATGCTTTCGAAAGAAGCCCTAGCATCCTAAACCCCAACCCTGAAACCCTAAGCCCTAAACCCTAAACCCCCCAAGCCTAAACCCTAAGCCCTAAACCTGAAACGGCCCGTTTGGGTGTGTTGGAAGGCTGGGAATCTGATTCAGGTAGAGGGCTCTCCGATGTAGATGGCTTAACAGATGGTGCGGAGGACGTAGTGGATTAGGGTTTAGGATTTAGGGGGTTTAGGATTTAGGGTTTAGGGTCTAGGGGGTTTAGGGTCTAGGGCGTTTAGGGTTTAGGGCTTAGGGTTTGGGGGTTTAGGAGGTTAAGGGTTTAGGATTTACAGGGATAATATGGTTTAGTATCGGGACCATACTATACTTACTAGGAATTGCTGAGCACCCTCGACCCTGGATGTGTGAGCAGGGTTGAGTCTGTGACACGAGCCGCGTCCTACTCGCCAGGAGCATTTTCAACAGGATATGTCCCCGATACTCTACACCTGTCCCCGTAACCCTGATATCACCAAACCTCACGTAATCCATGTATACCACTACATGAGCTCAGTCTCCAAATTGATTTTCCATTTTCTTTTCCGTCCATTTGGGCCTCCATTACTGAGGTAATGTCCCTAAACCCTCAAGCGATAACCCTAAAGGTTCCATGTCGAGACTGCTGCCAACCGCAGCCGTAAGCACCGCAACGCTGTTTATAACAGCACGCTTTTGCTAATCCCTAGGGTTTAGGATTTGGGCTTATGGTTTCGAATTTACGGGTGTAGGGGCGTAGGTTTTAGGGCTCCAGTTACCTAAATATGGGTTCTCGGTTCTTTATACCTTATGTTAACATAGGCCCAGTGGCCTACTAGTCAGGTGACTGGGAGCCCTGGGGTATTCTAATTTGAACTCTTCACAACAGGAAAATCCACAGCGACGGCTTTTGCACAAAGAGGTGTGAACACTTTACGGCTTACGGTTATAAGAAATAAGCCGAATCTTTGCCAGAACCCCACAGAGAAGAACTCATGTTCGCATAATCCACACCTGAACTCTGCATAACCCTGGCAATAACTCCTTTAGCCTGGCAACTGACCTCAAAATGCACCACCATTATCGCTCCTTGAACGCACAACACACATCAGAATCCCAAAAGTCAGTACCCTTTCGAATCAGATCTTTTGGGTGTTAGTATGAGCAGGTTCCAAGAGATCTCTGCAATTCCAAAAAGGGTTGTGGCGAGGAGACACACTCATCTACCTGCTCACTGAATCCCCAATGCAGCTAGCATCATTCAGCCCACATGCTTCCCTAAATCCTAAACCCTACATCCTAAACCCTAAGCCCTAAACCCTACATCCTAAACCCCAAAACCTTAAACCACAAACCCTGAACCCTGGAGGGCAAACGCTGCACTGCAAATAAACTCTGAGGTCTTTAGCGCGCAAACCCTCAGACTTATAGTTCCCCTTAAGTAGATAGAGTATCGGGTATATGCGGATCTTATTAAGATATACCCACAGCCATATTCTATCTACTTAAGGGAGACCCCTAAACCCTAAACCCTAAAGTAGTTTCCATTTTCTTCTCCATTATTCCATTATAACCCCAGTATAACCCTAATATTCTATCTACTTAAGGTGCCTATAAACCCTGAACCCTTGGACGTTTCAAAGCAACTCTTGTATAATCCCTTGGAGGGCCCAAAGACTTCCTTGCACTGCCTCAGAGACCCTGGAGTTTCTAGGGCTGAGGGTTTAGGGTTCCTGGACCCCCTGAGTATGTTATAGGGTTTAGGGTTTAGGATTTAGGGGTTTAGGGTTCCTAGACCCGCAGCGATGCAGAATATTGAGTTTTGGGCTGCTTTTTTTTAAAGGGGTGATGTCATTTTAATTGTTTATCTTTGGGGGGTCCAGGTCCAGGTATCGCCAAAGAAGCCCCCCATAACCCCTAAGGGCTAAGCTTGAAGTCCTACATCCTAAGCCCCAAACTCTTAGGGTCTAGGGTTTAAGGTTAAGGTTTAGCCTTTAAAGTTCATCCTAACCCCTACCTGAATCCTACACCCTATATGCTAAACCATAACTCCTGTAATGTAGACCCCTGATTAATAAACCGCCACCCCTTGATAGGGATTATAATAGGGATCCTGATCCTAATATTCAGCCCCTTAAAAGGATTTGGTTTATTAATCAGGTGTCTACAAGTAATAACTTCCATGTTCTTTTGCCTTCCTCCATACCCTGCTGCCCATCAGTAAGACAAACTAAATTCTAAACCCTAAGCCCTCATCCCCATAGTAGTTCCCTATTTTCTTTTCTATCTGTCCCTACTTGGAGGGTCAGGGTGGGCCTAGTCCGTATACTTATGACTCCTAAGCCCTAGATGCCACGATCCAACCCAAGCTATCCAGATTACTAACCTGCCTCTGACCTTCCAAGCGAGCGCCAGCAAGTAAACCCTAAGCCAAAATCCTACACCCTGAATCCTAAACCCCAAACCCTAAACCCTACAGTATTACTACGATCATCATTAATAGTGGTGGTGGCAGTAGAATAAGTAATGATGATAATAACAATACTGTAGTAAGCCTAGACCCTATATTCCCTAAACCCTAAACGCCCTAAACCCTAAATCCTAAACCCCCTTAATAATAATGCTGTAGTAACCCTAGACCCCATATTCCCTAAATCCTAAACCCTTGGTAAGTGAGCACCTGCTGGCCGCCAGCTGCGCCACTATCTACCAGCTCTGCATATCGCCGGAGGCCGTCCTCGCAGGGATGAGGGTTGGAGTATGCAGGGTTTAGGGTTTAGGGAGTGTATAAAGTTCAGTTTGGGGCGAATATCTTAAGGTGCAAGAAGTGAGCGTCTTATAGCAAAATCTTGGGACTTCCGGCATGCTTAGAGGCGCTAAGTGGTTTATGATAGGTTGTACTGGGGTTATCCTGGCGTCTCCGGCTACCTTGGGTCCCTTTGAGTGGATGATACAGCGAAACAAAGGGGTTTGGGCTCAGTTTATTTAAAACGCCCCTGAATGCTCTTTGTGTGCAAGCATTAGCTGTGGGGCCTGTCCACATAGGTGGTTGTCAAAATGATGGTCCCTTTTTGGGTACCCTAAATATTAGGTGCCGTATTCTGATAAGGATCCAAAAAGGGACCACAATGACGACCATCCACATGGGCCAGTCGGGCTTACTACCACAGTTTAGGGTTTAGGGTTCCCCCGTCCACGTAGCTTCAGCATCAGCCTGGATACAGGGACCTAAAGAGCAGCGGCAGTGTCAAAACAGCCCTACCTCGATAGCTAGAGGGTTTAGGGTTTGAAGGAGCAAAGAGCATGAGCAATCCGCCGTTGAAAGACCTCATGGCGATGTTGGGCGAGGTGCAAGAAACCCCACAGACGTGCTTCTGCGGAAAAGCTGCATGACGGCATTTTCCACCTTTCCGCAGTATGTCAAAAACTTTGCTCGCTATGCAATGACATGGCCCAAGTTTTGATGTGATTTGCCTGGAGCCCCCTCAGCTGCTTGTCTGTGTGCTCCAGTCGCGAAGCCTCAGAGCCAATTCTGGAACCAGGACTTCGTTGCTGTTAGGGGTTTAGGGTTTAGGGTTTAGGGATTTAGGGTTTAGGGATTTAGGGTTTAGGGGTTTAGGGTTTGGAGTTTATGGTTTAAGGTAAGGCTTCACCCTAAGACCTGGACCCTAAACCCTAAACCCTAAGCCTAATCCAGGGGACTGGTGCGGACTGCTTTGGGGGTCTTTTTGAAATAGTCTGAAAGGGCTCCTCCCTTGAGCTTGTGAGGCCACCTACATCCGAAGGCTTCCCTATGCTAGAGATAACCTCAAGCACCTTAGTACATGGGGGCTAAGGGACCTAAACTCTACACACCAAACCCTCGAGGATCCCATTCGACCACATGCCACAATGCTTTGCAATGGGGGTGGGGGGCCCCCCACCCTCGCAACTCGTTTCAAACATGAACCCGTATCATGTCCAATAATGAACCCTCATGAACAACTGCCCACATTCCTCACAAACCCAAACACTGCCAGCCGTAAAAACCCTAGCCCCTAAGCCCTCAAAACCCTCAACACGTTAAACCCTAAAACGCTAGCCCTAAAAGCACTAAACCCTGAACGCAAAACCCTGCGCCCTAAAAATCCTTAACCCCAAGGTTCCTAAAGCCTAAACCCTGAACCCTCAAAAGCCTGACCACCCTTAACCCTAAAGGTTTAGGGTTTAGAGTTTAGAGTGTCGGGTTTAAAACACCCTAAACTTAAACCCTGAAAGCCTGAACCACCCTAAACACCAAAAACTCCAACCCTAAAACCCTTTCAAACCCCAAACAACGTAAACCCCACACCCTAAAAGGCCTAAACCCCCAAAACCCTAAACGCACAACACTCTCAAACCTAAAACCTAAAACCCCCAAACCCTTAAAACACCACATGAAACACCACAAACGCTTCACAGCCTTAACCCCCAAAACCTGAACCCTTAAAACGCTAAAGCCCTAAAACCAACCCCACCACCTCCCGTCCTCCCCAAAAAAAACACACACGCACACCAAAACACCTAAACCATAGAAAAACAAAGCACCCTAAACCCTAATTAACTAACAATTCTAAACCCCACAAAAAGGCAAAAACCTGGATTTCTGAAACATGTATAAACCTAAGGGCCTGGGCCACCCTAAACCCTAAACCCTAAGCCAAGTCCAATATCAGAACAAGTATGTGTCCCAAGGAGCGTTCCCCCGTCAGCCTTTCCGGTAAAGTCACAGGGCCGCTTTTTTGGGATTCACCAAAGAGAGGCCCGTGATGTTGAGAAATGATAACTTGATTTCAGATCTCGGTGTTTAATCTCCTTCCCCAAAACCCTAAACCCTAAAACCTAAACCCTAAACCCTAAAACCTAAACCCTAAACCCTAAACCCACTAAATTCGCCTTCATAATGATATTTCTTGTTATGCGAGGTAGGCCGGCTCGTACTGCAGGGGTCGAACTAATGTTGAATAGAATCCGGAACCCCTAAACCCTAAACCCAACGCAGTGCAAGATTTTCTCCATCCACAAACAACTGGAGTAGGTTTTGGCATAACATATGGTACTTGTATAAGGATGATAGGGTGACGGTCTTTCTGGATACTCACGTCTCCATAAGCCATACTAAACCCTGATCCCTGAACTCTCTGACCCTCCTTCCCCACAAGACTGGGTTGCTGTTAAGGAACTTAAATTAAGTTACTATATTGGGGAAACCCGATTATTTACTATATATACCCATTGTGGTAACCCTAAACCCTAAATCCCCTAAACCCTAAACCCTAAACCCATTATGGTAACTTAATTTAAGTTTCTTAACAGCGACCCAGAAGATTCCTGAACGCCCTGCAACGCATGAAATTCGCATCAGAGCCTATGTCGCATCACACAGAATCATGCATAAGCCGAGCACCAATGATTTTTAAGGGTTTAGGGTTTAGGGTTTCGGGTTTAAGGTTTAGGGTTATGAGCCTGCAGTGTTGCCATCTAATCTATATCTATGCATGCTCCTCTACACAAGTAGCTTCCTAAACAAACCCTAAACCCTAAACCCTAAACCCTAAATCCTAAATAAACCCTAAACCCCTAACCCCTAAACCCTATTCGCAAACCCCAAACCCCAACCTCCCTCCCAAGAAGCTCTAAACCACTGAACCCCTAAAACCCTAAACCCAGAACCCCCCAGAACCCTTGAAACGCCTAAAACCCCTGTAAGGTTAGGGTTTAGGGCTTAGAGTTTAGGGTAGAACCCTACCCGAACCCTAAACCCTAAAACCCCTAAACCCTAAAACCTTAAAACCCTAAACCCCTAAAGCCCCCTAAAACCCCCACCTCGATGCCGGTCCAATCCAGCGGCCGGGCGAACTGCTTCAGGCAAGGCATTCCCATCCCTAAGTTGATGTACCAAAGGGAAGGGTTGAGGGATTTAGGGCTTTAGGGATTTAGGGTTTGAGGGTTTAGGATTTAGGGGATTATGGGTTTCAGGGATTTAGGGTTTAGGGATTTTAGGGATTTAGGGATTAGCGATTTAGGGATTTAGGGATTCAGGGTTGAGGATTTAGGGTTTAGGGATTTAGGATTTAGGGATGTAGGGATTTGGGGATTTAGTGTTTAGGGGTTAGGGATTTAGGGATTAGGGTTTAGGGGTTAGGGTTTAAGGTTTACGGTTGAGGGATTAGGGATTTAGGGCTTAGGATTTAGGTATTACGGTTTAAGGGTTGAGGGATTAGGGTTTAGGGTTTCCCTTGCTGGTTCTTAGTAGGCTTGAGGGTTTAGGGATTAAGGTTCGGGGTTTAAGGTTTGGGGTTTAAAGGCGATGTACCAAATAATGGGGCTTCATAGGATTTAGGGGTTTAGGACTTAGGGATTGTTGTTTAGGGGGATCTCGCGATTGATTCTATAAGGGATGTATGGGAGACACAAAGGTCCAAGTATCCTGATAATGGGGCTTTAGATCCCAAATGCTGCAATCTAGCTGCAATTGGGGCCCTGAAGCACGAATATTTGGGTATTTGGACCCTTGGTCGTTGGACCTAAATTTCCTGGATTGGGCTTAGAAAAATACTAGAAGCCTCCAGGGAATATGAGGACGTATAATGGCATTGTCAAAGGCGTCTGCCGTAGGGTTTGGGGTCTAGCGGTTGGGTTGCGGTCTCAGGGTTTAGAGTTTAGGGTTGGGATTCAAGGTCTAGAGTGAAGGTGTTGGGTCAGGGGTAGTACTTGGAAGGTTTCTGTGGGTCTTGTTGGGGGTATTCGGGCCCGTGTGGGTTCAGCGTGCACCCTGTTGGGGTCATTGCTGAACTTACTAGGGGGTTAGCAGGGAATAAGGGAGTATCGTCTCTAGGGTCTAGGGATTACATAGGTAATGTATTCCCCTATTTCCTAAGTACGAACCACGGTAAGTGACTCCTAGACCGCAAACTCGATCCGAGTTTGGCTGCCTATCTTTAGCGCCCAAAATAACCAAATATTAGGGCTTTAAGCCGGGCCCAAATGCCATTGACATTATTGCGCACTTGGACCCTTAAAGGGCATAATGTGGTCGTGACTGTCCTTGTGGTCATGTAGCCAGAGACGAATTTCGAAAAACCCTCGCACAACAACACGAACAACATCATCACTCTCTGCATCGTTCAAGGTTTCGGGCTTAGGGTGTATAATTGTTTTCATGGACCTTGTAGCCATAGCAGCTCTCGAGGCTTAGGGTTCAAGGTTTAGGACTTGCAGTTTAGGGAGTTTAAAGCCAAAGGGGCCCGAGGCTGTATGGGGAATACACAGGGGCCACTGGGGTCCCCAGAAAGGATTCTACGGGGGTAAGTTCGAGAATAGACCTCTAAGAGTATGGGCAAAACAAAGGGGGACTACGGGACTTTAATTAGGAACCCTAAACCCTAAAACCTAAATTATGACAGGATTAGGCGGGAGTCTAATTTCGCTGATACTTTTGGTTGATTGAATTCAGGGTTCGGGGAGTTCAGTGTTTTGGTGGTTTAGGATTTAGGGTTTTGGGTTTTCAGGGTTTAAGGTTTATTTCCTCGAATCTATGTTCGATCCTCACCCCCGCTTACATGTCATTGCTTCGTATGGACGTCAACTTCAAAGGTATGGACACGTAGCTTAACCCCAGGCCTTCCACTGCTTCAATTAGGGGTACTCATTTGGGGGTCCCTATAAGAAGGGTTACAGTATTTTGGGGTCTATATTGGGGTCCCCACTACTAAATCAGCCTGGATGCTGACATCAGGTTGGTCCGTCCTGAGCAGGCGTAGGTTGGGACAGTCTCAAAAACCTGTCTTTCGACGTAGGTAGTTGTTGGGTCTTTGGGTTTGAGGCTTCGGTCCTGCCCACACCCGTTAACAGTCTATAATAAGGCTAGTATTTCAGGGTTGTATACAAGTAATCATATTTTGAATATGATCCAGCTGTTAAGGAGTGGCGGCAGTACCCAAGGTAGCCGTCCAGTGTTCAAGGCGTTGGCAAGGATAACCTTCTGGTTGACATGACAGTCTGCATTCCACACGCAAATTCAGGGTTACCCGCTGCTAGCGTTACCCACACCCCCCCCTATTTGCCCTCAGTATCTTCATGTTTCGTGCGCATCCACCGTCATAGCATCTGTATAAATCCTAACACAACTGCAAGATTACTGTTATTTACAGCAAAACAAGATACTAGCGAATGCATGCCGGCACCCCTAATAACGTTCACGTCGACAACATCCAAGTGAATCCATGATGCCGGCACCCATAATAACATTCACTTCGGCCACATTCACAACCACCAAAACACTGCAATACACAGCACATTCTGACGAGCGGGCATTTGGCGCGGGCAAATNNGGGGGGGGGGGGGGGGGGGTAGCGTTAGCGTTTCAAATTTTCACATTACGTTTCGGGGTTGAAGCGACGCATGCACGGCATATGGAAAGCAGGAGTTGCCTAAGGGCTACAAAATTTCAGGGACATCGGATTCCAAGTTCTGCTGCATGGCTTAGAGGACACTTGAAATGCTTTACCGAGTAATATCCGAATAATCATTACGTAATAAGATCCTTATACATACAAGTACCATATCGAGATTCCCTCATTCTGCCGGAACTCCAGCTGCAGGTCTCATATCCACAACATATATGTTGTTCACGCCTCCTCACTCGAAAATTAAAGTTGTATAGTCCCCCTTGAGTGGATAGAATATGGCTTTGGGTATATTATAGTAAGATCCCCCTGTACCCCATATTCTATCCATTTAAGGGGGAATGTAAAGAAAGGCGAAGAGCATGACAGTAGATAAATCAGCAAGGCAGTGGGACGTCTCGACCACAAAATGCAATTTAAGGTTTAGGGCTTAGGGTTTGGGGTTTGGGTTTAGGGTTTGGCTTGGCTGGTGTGAGTACTTAGTACGTATACATCCAACAGCTACAAGACTATGAGCCCCATAACTTACCCAGCTCTCCCCGTCTCAAATTACGTGCAACATTGCTAAACCCCAAACCCCAAACTCTCAAGCCCATGAAACATAGAAGTTGTATTCCCGCTCGTGATTTTGGGAAAAGACTGCCTGGAAATAAGGTCTCAGTAGTGATGCTGAAGCTTGTTTGACTAACTTAAGTTTTGCTGCTTATTTGTGGCTTTTGGAGCCACTTCGGTTTTTGTGCCTTTTGGAGCCGGTTTGCTTGGGCTTGCTGGAGCCGATGTGAACGTTTGCACAGCGGACCACTTAATCGTGACCGGTTGCAGAACATGTGCAGCGAGACGCAGGAAGCAGCATAAACACCAGACATAAGGACACATTTATGCCGAAACATGCCAATGCAATGCTAGGACTGGCACTGGCGCCTACAGAGCAATGCCGCGGCTAATACCACGTGGGCTCGACTTTGAGCCCTGCTTCTAGGGACGCCTGCGTGTATGGTACACAACACAAGCACTTCACTGTACTGTGCCGCAACGTCTTCGTTGCGTAGGAAACACTTAGGACTACCTCAAGGTCGCGGTTCCTCCTGAATGCCGCGATCGAGCCACACATCGGCGTGCACTGGCGCATGATAGGGATGGGGCCCACCTTGATGGGCCGCACTCTGCAACGGGCCGGATATTCCCAAGCATTCCCAAATCTGGACAGGAGTCAAGACCCCGGCAGCTTTCGACTCCAACTGCAGCTGTACTGGATGACTTCCTGCACATGCGGCACCTCTTGGACTGTCACGCACAGAACAATAATCTTCTCCACAGATGGAAGATGGCCTTGCAGGAAGCACCTGCGCCGGCGATATGGCAGACAAGCCCGGAGCGAACCAAAGCTATCCCAGCACGCATCCAACATGCCCCGAAGCCGGTCTGCTGCGGAGACATGAAGTAGGTTGCGCGCCACGAATAGGCGCAGGTGTAAGTCAGCCGCGCGCGCGCGTCACTATGCTGCGGAGCTGCGAGCCTGATCTCCGGCGAGTCAGCATTGTTGGCATTTCCAGCAAGCCTTGACGGCGATCCCCGACAGGAACCCGACATGTCCGCAGCAGCCTCCGTGTCCTCATCCATGGCGGTAGTTGCGTTCGAAAGGACACTACCTGCGTTCGATCTGGAGCGCCGGACCCAGCCGAAGGGACTGGGCCACTCACTCACTTGACTCCTCAAGTCGAGCACCTGCCGCAAGGCTTGCCAAGGAAAGGCTTCCATGAGCCGAGGCATCCTCCCCGCTCAGACGTGCGTCAGGTAGACTACTTGCATCCTCGCCGCCGTCGGTTGCATGGCTGCCAGGTGGAACCACAGCTGCGCCAGTGGGAGTGGCAACCTCACTTGTAACTCCAATGATGCCGCTGCTGCTCTCTGCTTTTTCCAGCAGCAGCGTCGGATCCCTGCCCGCTTAGAGAGCAGCCGCCGTCTCCAGCAATGGAAATTACTGGCCAGGTTCATCGTCGAACTGGACGCAGATGAGGTGCTGAACCGTTTTCTCCCTCCTCAAAAACGTTTGACAGCAAGGTGCAAGGCATCACCGCAACTGCAACTGCACACAATGGCCTGTTTTGCAGCTCGCGGAAGACAGGGAACTCTGCATTGCCCGCAGGCATAACCACTGTGCCTAATCGCTCCTGGCGTGGCCTTAGTGCAGGGTTTTGCCTCGCCTCCAGAAGCGCACTTACACCTCTTTCCCTCAGGCCCAACAGCTCAACAGATTCAAGCAACGAATGCAGCTGTAGAGGCCCTTCAAAAAACTTTGTTGTCTTTCGCTGCATGTCTATATAGGCGCATAGATACATGGAGAAACTTACTTTTTCAAGCGTTTGGCTGAAAGATTTTCTAGGCAGTGCGGCCAGGCAGCAGGCCCCTGGCTTCCACGCGGGTCCCCAGACGTCCCAGGCTGCTATCCAGCGCTGACGGTGTAGGGTTTTCGTGAACCTCGGTGCTAACAAGAAGCCGCATTAGGGTGTGTAGGGTGGGGCAAGGTAAGTTGAGTAGGGTAGGGTGTGCGCAAAGTAGATTAAACAAGGGCAAAATAACCTAGGGTAAACTAGAATGGGATAAGACACAGTTGAGCGCAAGGCAAACTAACATGAGTCAGGATAGAGTAAACTAAGGTAGCTTAGGCAGGGTGGGCTTAGCGCGAACTAGATTAAAATAAGGTAAGGTGTGGTGGGGTCGGGTAGAGTAGGGTAGGGTGAGGGAGGGTAGGTTAGAGTGGGGCAGGTTGAGCGTAAAGGAAGGTAGGATAGGGTACGTCGCGGTAAGAAAAAGTGAGAAGAATAAACAGGGCAAGGTAAGGTAGCCCGCCATCGCAGCTGGGATGAATGTAACCTTGCTCGTCCTTCACGCTACCTTACCCTGCTTTGCGCTGCCCTGTCTAGCCGAAGACAATCTACCCTCGTTGCGTATACTCTCCTACACCGCATTTTATTCTGCCCTACGCCACCTAGCCCAGTCTCGAGTTGAGATGCTTCAATCCGGAAATTGCTGCACTGCCGTGCATGAACGTGCAATCAACAGAAAAAGGTCAGACAAGGATAGCATGAAGATTAAAGCTGCGTGGCCCATCAGCAATTCAGATTGCATGTCTCTATTCTGCCTCTGAAACGGGCAACAAGCAGTGCAAACCCTAGCCTACTAACTAGCGCTCTTCAGCTAATATAATTCCCGCTCTTCGTACACAATCAAAAGCACGTTCTCTGGCGTTCAGGTGGTTCTTTCTACTTTCTCCCAGAGCCGACGGTACATCCAGACACACGTCCTTGCCGACCTGAAAGAATTCTGAGTTGCTTTGGAAACCGGGACTTGCAGCTAAAGTCTGAGGAGAGCGAAGAGAGAGAGAGAGAGAGAG